CTATTCAGTGGAAAATTACTAACGTTTGCTAAGGAGAAATCTCATTAAGATCCAAGTTCAGTGCTCTGCCCGGGTCTTTAAGGCTCCCATCTCCCTCTTTCCACCTCTTATCCCTTGGTGACAAGGTCTTCGTCCTCAGAGTCTGTCTTCAAAGCTACATGTTGCATAACACAGCTCGGAGGACATAATCTAGCTGAAAGACGGATGAGACAAAAGTGAGACCGTCTTGCACAGACACCAAGGTGCGTGGCACAGATGACCTGGCAACGGGCAGAACACAAAGGAAGCAGCACAGGGGCCCGCGGAGGGGACAGGAAGCAACCGCGACACGGCGCCTCCTCCCTACCACGAAGCTTTGCAGAGGGGTGAAGGAGCCCAGAACGCTAAGTCCCTTATGCAGTAGCACCGAATCTGCATATAACCTAGGCACACACTCCTGTACACCTGAAGGCATCTCTAGATGACCTGCGACGCCTGATGGGACACAAATGCTGTCTAAACCGTTGTTGCATAAAGACACTAGGCTTTAAAACTTGCTTTTTTAACTGTTTTTTCCTGAAAGTTTTCTATCACCAGTTGGTTGAATCAGTGCATGTGGAGCCGCAGACTCGAAGGGCCGACTGGATTTGGCGGTTCTGGGGGAAGGATGCAGCATCTCGGAGTGAACACACAACAAAGAGGATCTCAGAGCCACTGCAGACAGTCCACGGGCTGCCGAGACTCCCATGGGAGAAGCACGGGCGACCGCGCGTTCTGCCACGGCACGGGGTGTCCTGTCCTGCCCGGGGGTTCGTATTCCTCGCTCTGATGTGTAGTCAGGTGGACCGGTCAGACAAAGTCTACCTAGGCCAGGTGCTAGCACAGTGATCCTGATGTCTTAGCTTGACACTGCCATGAGCGACTTCGTGTTGGAAGAGCACCACCAACTTTCTGAGTGGCTACGACTGCTCCCTCTGTTTTCACTATGTGGGAGAAAGAAGATGTCCAAAGCAACGTTAGTCAGCAACCGAGCCGTGATTTAAGGCTCTCCTCTTTCAGCCATAAGAGCTCCAACATGGCAAATAGAATCCTTCTTCAATTAATGAGGCACACTGGAAGGTGATTTTTAATTTCAAGCTGGCATGAAGATCTTGAAGTGTTATTAGATCCAGGAAGGCACAGACTATGAAACAGAATTCAGGGCAAGACAGATCATTTTCATAAAACAGGGATAAACAGACTAAGTTTGCATGAGGGTAAAGCTTCCTGAAAATTTAGTGTGAAATGTATTTAACAAATTGCTTTGAAATGACTCTCTAAAGTTAGATTCATAAGATTATACAAAACAGCACTACAGTAAGCAGATTTTTACACTTTAAAGACAAGGATAAGAGGCGGGCTCAATCCAGCTTTCCGAGTATTTATTCGGTTACTGCGGCGACACAAAATATCATCACCTTACAGCAACACCAGCCAACATTTCAGCGGTGAGCAGAAGGGCTGACCGGACTGGTGAAGCACTCTTTCTGTATCGGGCATTGTTTCTTGGTGCTTTCACGTTTGCCACCTCATCTAGTCCCCGAAACATCATCAGTCACACAGGCATCTTTCAGACGAGGAAGCCAGGATTCCAAGGAGTTGGAGAACTGCCGCAAGAAGAGCTGGGATTCCGCCCAGGTCTACTTAACTGCAGCATCACAACCCTCACATACCCCGTCGCGCTTCACTGCCTCTCTTGGGAGTTGGGCGATCAAAACCTGACAAGTGAAGTAAGGGCTATGACTGCCTATGTTATTTGCACAATGTGAGGCTGACACCTGGCTCTGAGCGTCACCAGTTTCACTTAAGGAGATAATCACTAAAGGGGGATAGCACCCACATGCACATAAAAATTCATCCCAGCTCTCACAATCCCCGCCCTGGCCTACAACAGTAAACTCCTCGACACAGCGGAACTGTGTGTTCCACTTGCCACACCTCGATTCCCCAGCACAGGGCACATGACAACGAGCACAACTACAACGCTGAGGGGCACGTATCTGTGACAGCCGCAGACTTGCTGATTTCCTGTTGGAGATAAAACTTCCAAAAGACCCAAGGTCGTTTGATAACAGACAGATGAACACATGAATTGGAGCCTGCTACAAATAACTTGGAAAACAAAAGTCAAAGCAAAAGAAAACAGCAGCAATGGCCGAGAAAGACGCCCTGCTCCCTCCTGAGCAGAACCCTCACCTGCTTCTAAATGGCAACCTGTGTTTCCGTGGACTGAGAGCTGCGGCCAAGAAGGGGAAACGAGGTGCAGCTGTGGGACACGCGTGGGCGGCGGCGAGGGGTGCGCTGCCCGGCTGCTCCCCCGCGGCTGAGTCCCCAACCAGTGGGCACAGGCTTCCTCTCGGGACCCTCCCGAGGCTTAGAAACAGCTTCAGTTCTGTGCTTACCCTCTCCAGAGAGGAAACACGAGCAACTCGGAGAGGGCAGAAGGAGCTATTTCAGACACGGGGCCAGGTGAGCTTTTATGGAACAATGCCGATTGGGCAAACTAAACAACCAGGGGAAAAGAAAACATTTCTTAAATGACACCCCCCTCAATCCCAGTCATTAAAAGTACTAGTATCATTTCCATCTCAGTTGTCTTCTGCATTTTTTAATGGAAAAAAAAAATGCTCACAACACTTAAACATTTTGCTTCTGAAAAAACAATTAGCGTGCCAGGAGTTCCCTCATCTCCTGCTCACCTGGCCACATTCTTGTCCATACAGCTAACAGGACTGGTAAAACAACATCAACTCTGCATCGTCTTGAATAGAATGTACCATTCGCTTGTGACGATAACCAACAGGCTTTTCATCTGTAGACCACAAGTGGCCAGAGAGATTCTCCAGCTCTGAGGGAGTGGCTGGGCCTGCGGCAGAGAGGAAGAGGGCTCCTCTTGGACAGATGAGACTGGAGGTTTGCTTCTCCTAAATACATTTTAAGAACTTTTTTCCTTTCCCCCCATGTTGTCTGTTTAAACATGTACCACGTGGCAGGTTCTGTGCTGAAGGAGATGGCTTTAGCTTGGGGAGGAAACATCAGTGGCCTCAGTTTTATAAAGCATTCAGTCTGTAGGAGTCAGGGGATTGAGATTCTGGCTTTGAATTCATGGTACTATGAAAAAAAAACCAACTAATTTTGGTTTGAAAAGTTACAGCATCACAATGAAACATTTGCATTCTGACAAGAAAGATGAGACCTTATATTTTATCTAAAGCTAAATTTTAGCTGTCCTAAGTTTCCTATTTACTAATTTTAAGACTTTTTAAGAAGTTTAAATATTCAGACCTCCCCGCCAAAAACAACCTAACATGAAACAAACCTGTCTCCTCCAAATTGGAAACCACAGAACTACTAAGGCGCAGCTGTTGGGTAAAATGTCTATAGAGTTGAAATAATGTACTGATTATAAATAGGAACACAGTGGGATCCCCGCCCCCATCCAAGCATTACAGAACACAAAATGTAATTCAAGGAAGGACAGAACTTCCTGCTACTTTTCCTGTGAACATTTTTGGAAGATCTGATATAAAATCATAAATGTGCTTACATGTTAGACCAGATATGTACCACATAAGAACTAGCCAGCTGGTAAAATAATTGCACCAGATGAGTTTCTTCTTTTCAGCCAGACAGAATATCACTGGCTTTGCTGTTGTGTTACTCTTCTTGGCTGGGTTACTGCGGAGAATTACCTTGCAGCTGCTCCCCCACCCAGCTCCACTCAAGGGAAAGGTTGGTGGCTTCTCCTCCCTACTGCTTCCTGTGGATGGCTGCATCATACGCATGATGCCAGTCCTCGTTTCAAAGCCCGAATTCTAGAAATGCTGGCTCAGGCAGTTAACAGCATCTGTGTGTCCGTTTTAACTGTATGGATAGTCATACCAAAGAGACGCTTACAAAGATGACTGTCTTAGACAGCAGTTAAAGGTGACTGCCCTCCGCTGCTTCTCAAGCGACCTCCCACGTGGTTCCCCACGCCCCACCCCCCACCCCCCACCCCAGTAGCCTTGAAAAGTCCAGAGGAGAAAATTCAAATACAGACACTCCTCGACATATGATGGGGTTATGTCCCAATAAATCAATACCTTAAGTCAAAAACATACTTCTTTGATGTTCAAGTGTGTTTCCAACTCAGGACATTTTCAGCGGACCAGGGCTCTCCAGACGTAGCCCTATGCTGAGCTGAGGATGTGCCGAGTGTGTGTCGCCCTCACACCACCGCGAGGCACAAAAGCCGCCAGCCAAACCATTGTGAGTCGGGCCTGTCTACAGCCCTAGTCCTTGAGACAAAGCAATGAAGGAACTTGGGATTTACTTGGATTGTTTGTATTGCTGTGACCACACAGCACACTCAGTCCAATTCCACATGTACTCTCAGAGTGCCACTGATGACATGCCATGTATAAGTCTCTCCGGTGTTTGCACAAGACTGACGGAAATGATGCCAGGCAAAGCAGAATGTGGCGTCCCAGCCTACTGGACAATTCACAATCAAAAGAATCTGACTTCTTACTTTAAAACTATTAATTTCCCAGCACAAACTCACATTAGTGGTATTCAGAAGCTATTTATCTGTTGAGGTATATAGTTAGTCCCTTCCTTAAAAAATGCAGGTAGAAGAGTTGTACAATTACTTCATGGAATTCTATTTTATAAATAAAAATAGTTTAAGAAAACAGTCACTAAGGCTGAGGTAGGATCGCCTGAGTCCAAGAGGTAGAGGCTGCAGCAAGCCGTGATCATGATACAGTGATACCCCTGACTCAAAAAAATAAACACAAAAACAACTGACAACTGAGATACAACAGAGGCCAGGTAAAATGCAATTAAACGCAGAGATTATCTGTCATGTGATGCATTTCCCATTTGAGGATTTCTTACTATATAGTCATTCAGCATTGCAGGCAGCAAGCAGTTTCTTTTGCTCAATGACATCCAGCACTGCTTCTCTCCACTGAGGTATTTTGGGGGAACAATCTTACCTCTGCTCCTGAGTATGTGTCAGTTTGGAGGACAAGTTCATCCAGGTCAACCTCGTGACTGACAGGCATCGAGTGAAACTGCAGGTTAAATACTTCCCTTCTTGTTGCTGCATCTGGTAAAGGCACATAGATGAGTCTATCAATTCTTCCAGGCCGCATCAAAGCCTATAAGGAAATGATTAACCAGGTTCAGAACTGACATTCCACATCAAAGGCACCCTGGAATGGATGTCCAAATCTCATTAATAGCCCGTTATTATCCATAATTAGTAAATGAAACAAGTACGAGAGAGAGGGAGAGCACACAAGTGTGTGTGTGTGTGTGTGTGTGTGCGCGTGCGCGCACATGTGCACGTGTGTGTGTTTCCAGTTGGAATCTCAGTCTGTTGCCCCAGCTGGATTGCAGTGGCACGATCACAGCTCACTGCAGCCTCAACTTCCTGGACTCAGTGATCCTCCCCTCTCAGTCTCCCAAGCAGCTGAAACTACAAGTGTATACCACCACACCTGGCCAATTTTTTATTTTTTGTAGAGACAAGGTCTTGCTGTGTTGCCCAGGGTGGTCTCAAACTCCTGGGCTCAAGCAATCCTCTCAGGCATCAGCCACCACACCTGGCCCTCATCTATATTGAAGATACAACCAAGACACAACAGTGGCAAGAGGACTTTTGAAAACAGAAAAGTAATATTTCTGGGAGGCCTTCTCTTCTCAGCAATTATCAAGCGAGTAAAAGATGGCTCTTCTCTTTTATAAAAACGCACATAGGATTTGCACCGATTGTGTCAAGAGAAGTTTATCTATAACGTCCCTCAATAACTCTTCAACGATGGGCTAGGCTATTAGCCGTTTCAGAGAGCCTTCAGAATAGCACAGCTCTGGCAACAATCCTAGAGCAGGATGCAGTCAAGGGACACAGGCTGATGTCCATATTGCCTTGAATTCATGAACTCACTTACCAGAACAATTCAGTGAGCCTGTACCGCATACCAGACATTGTTCTTGGTGTCAGGGAAAAGCATCCGCAAGACAGGTATTTTGTATCGTTAACTGTGGTGATGGTGCACGTGTCTGTGAATATACTAAAAGCCAGCGAATTAAATATCTTAATGGAGTGATTTTTATGGTATTTGACTGTATCTCAGTAAAGCTGTTAAAAAAGAGGTGTGGGTCTGAAATATGTGTGAGTGAGTGAGAGACTGTGTGTGTGTGTGTGTGTGTGTGTGTGTATCTAGAAAACAGGGCACTGTTTAGCTGGGATAGTATGAGAAAGCCTCTTTGAGAAGGTAACTTAGGCAGATACCAAAGGAGTTAGCCATACACAGATCTGCTGGAATAACATACAAGGCAAAGGGAGCATCATGTACAAAAGGCAAGAGTAACTGGCATGTTTCAGGAAAAGGAACAACTCGATGTGGTAGAAGAGTCAGTCCTTGAGAGAAACAGCAAACAGTGTGAACTGCGTTCTCTGTGCAATGGGAAGTCATTGCAGGGCAGAAGTAGGAAGGTGAAATGTAAGATTCACATGGAAAAGTCACTCTGCTGGAACAATAGCAAAAGGTATGGAGTATATATAATTAGAATCCCAAAAGGAAAGAAAAAATTTAATGGGGTAGAAAAATGTTTGAAGAAATAAAGACCAAAAAGTTCCCCAAATTAGTGAACAAACATAAACTCATACATTCAAGAAGCTCGGCAAATCTCAAACAGAATAAAAACAACGAAAACCACATCTAGACATATCAGAGTCAACTGCTGAAATCCAGAAGAAAACTTGGAAAGCTGCCTAAATGCACACAGGGAGCAATGACTGAAATCACAGGTGACTCTCACATCAAGGCAATGGTGGGCAGAAACCAGTAAGACAACATCTTTAGCATGTGAAAGAAGTGAAAGGCCATCCCAAAGTAATGGAGGAAAAGTAAGCTTATTTGCAGATAAAGGAAAACCAAGAAAATTTGTTTTGAGCAGATCTGCAACGCAGAAAATGCTAAAGGAAATTATTTAGGTTGTAGAGAAATGATATGAGATGGAAAAGTGAATCTTCAGAAAGAAATGAAGAGCACTAGACATAGACTCCCTCTCCCTCCAACATAAAGAAAAAAAAATTACTCTTGGTGCTGGCATAATCAGAAATGGAATTTCTTGAAGATGAAGAGACACTCACTTACAAATAGTAGAGAAGATAATATTTCTGCATGTGTACTTTTGAACATGAAACACCCAGAAAAGGGTGTGATGAAAGTACACATAGGAACTAAGGAAGGTAGGAATTTAGGCTCAAGCATCTTCTAGTTTGATAAACAGCCCCCCTGAAAACATAGTTAGGACCATACTGAACACTACAGAAAATACAAACTTCAACACCTCAAGTAGTTGCTCTGTGGAAATTAGTTCTTAAGCACCAGCACACAAAAAAGTGATATTCTGGGAGTGATCAATGGTCCTTTGTCTCTGACCCAGGTGTCCCATGTTTTTTTGCCAGTCTCCATGAAACTCTGGCAGTCTATCTTATTAGCTTTCAAATAGGGCAAAACCTTGGAACTTCCACAGTTCCTGACATGTATATTCCTAATAATGAAGCCTCAAAATATGCAAAGCAAAAATTGGCAGGATGAAAGAGATAAATATATCATTCCAACAATCATAATAGAAGTTCCCAACACTGCTATCTTAGCAGTTGATGGGACAAGAAAGCAAGTCAGTAGAGACAGAAATTCTGAACAAGAGTATCAGCCACCTTGACCAGATCTCTATTTATTTATAGACCACAACTTACAACATCTGAAGAATACAAATTCTTTTCAAGTGCACTTGGCATATTCACCAATTTAGCCCATATGACGGGCCATAAAACAAGACCCGACAAATTTGAAAGCACTAAAATCATACTGGGTAGTACTCTGACTACAGGAGCGAGTTAAAAATGAATAACAAGACACAGAAGAAGCCGGGCTCGGTGGCTCAGCCCGTAATCCCGTGCCTTTGGGAGGCTGAGGTGAGTGGATTGCCTGAGCCCGCAGGTTCGAGATCCGCCTGGGCAAGCGAGACCTCATCTCTACAATAAATCAAAAAAATTAGCCGGGTGTGGTAGCGTGCTCCTGTAGTTCCAGCTACTTGAAGGCTGAGGCGGAAGGATCGCCAGAGCCCCCAGGTCCAGTCTGGGCAATAGTGAGACTTCAACTCAAAAAAAACCAAAAACAAAACACAGAAGAAAACGCCAAATACATGGGAACTGAGCAACACAATTCCAAATAAGCCATGGGTCAAAAAAATTAGAAAATGTTTCAAATTGAACAATAGTGAAAATCTAACACATCAAGATTTGTGGAATGTAGTTAGAGCAATGCTTAAGGTAGGAAAGAGGGGAAAATGAGCAGAAATCAATGAAATGGGAACAGAGAAAACTGACAAAGCCAAGAGTGGTTCTCTGGAAAGATCTAAAAACAAAAACACCCCCCCACCCAAACTGGTTAAACTCTAGCTAGATTGGACAAGGTTAAAAGAGAGAACTCATCACCAACATCAGAAGTGAAAAAGAGGTTTTATTACTACAGATAGAAAAGGATAATAAAATAAAATTGTGTCCAATTACTTTTCCATGTTTTCAAAACCTTACTTTAAAGATGAGGGGTACAAATGTTTGTCATGCATGTACCCTTGATGATGACATATGCCCCACCCCCTCCTCTGACAATTTCCCATTTTAATAATAAATTCAACAACTTGGATTTTTAAAAGTTCCTTGAAAAATATAGTTATCAGTATTGGTACAAAATGAAACTGAAAATCTAAATAGCCCTATATTTATTTTTTAAAAAATAAATCAAATTCATTAAAAAACCTGAATTTATTATAATCAACTTTCCCACCAGGAAAACTGTAGGCCTAGATGGTTTCACTTCTAAATTCTAGCAAAAAAAAGGAAGAAGAAGAAAAATAACATTAAAATTCTATAATCATTTCAGAATATAGAGAAGGGACTATTTCTCAAGTTGTTTCATATAGTCAGCATATTAACTCTAAAACCCTCAAGTTGTTTCATATACTCAACATATTAACTCTAAAACCCAACAAAGATTACAAAAAATGAAAATTATCGACTGTTGATCCTTATGAACATAGACCTAAAACTCCTTTAAAAAATTAGCAAATAGATTCTAATGATATATAAAGTGGATAAATTATCAGAACCAAGTAAAGGTTATCCCAAGAATTCAAGTTTGGTTAAATATTAAAAATACAATTATAATTCACCATATTAACAGAATAAAGTAGAAAAACCATGTGAAAATTTTAATATGTGCAGAAAAAGCATTTGACAAAATTCAAGATCCACTCATGATGAAAATTTCTCAAAGCTAGGAATATAGGGAATTTTCAATATGATGAATATCTACTAAAAATCTATAACTAATATCACACTTGATGTTAAAATAGTGAATGCTTTCTACTTAAATTGAAAACAAGGTAAAATCTCACCATTTCTACTGAACATTATAAAAGAGTAAACTAGTTGCAATAAGGCAAAAACAGAAGAGAAAAAGTAACCACAGAACTTGAAAGGTAAAAAAGTAAAACTGCCTGCATTTGTAAAAGACATGACTGTTAATATGGAGATCTTAAGGAATCTATAAAACAACGACTAGGAAGATCATGGGATACAAGGGCAACATTTAAGCAAATCAACTGTATTTTTACATATTAAGCAGCAAAAATCCACTTTATGGAGATACATGTTGTCTACCAAATAGCTGCTAATTCTTAATTTATGTGCAAATTAGCAGGGAAAAATTAAATTGAGAGAAACTATACAGCAGACATCTTTCCTTGTTAAAACAATGCTTCAATTAGTCATCTGCAGACTGGGCTGCACGCCTACTATGAACTCAGCAGGGAGAAATGAAGCAACACGAGCTTACTCGAGATGTATTTTATCAAATAAACCAAAACTCCATTTCAATCATGGCAATCATTTCTCCCCACCTAAAATAAATCCAAACCTAAAATAAATAGAAAGGGTTCAGGAAATGAAGATGATTCCAGCAAAGACATACTTTCAGATTATTAAATAATGTTATCCAGGATAAACAATATTAATATTTACATGGCCCTTAAGAATCAGTGGAGCAGTTTCCACAGGCTTCATCTTGCTTACCATTCCCCT